TGATTTTAACATTAGGGATCAAATTTTTTTTTTTTTTTTTGTCCTTGGATTTTACGTTATTACGTTAAAAAAATGATTGGATTGAGTTTTTTTAATCCGGTTCGAAACACTATTCTAGCATCTAATACGTTACCCACTACTATACTATCGGAATAGAAAAAAATTAATAAAATAAATACTCCGCTTAAGTGAATAATTAGTACAGCCAATTAGAAGTGGTGTGGTAAATTAGTAAATTCCCGAGTTGTTCGGATTGCATCTATAGTATAGTATGATGATAACTTTAATTTCTTTCTCCACTACATATTTGTGCAATACAATAATCCCGCTGACTTCCGCATAATAATTTTTTTTGTTCTGGTCCGGAATTGTAACGGTTTCTGTTCCTAGTTAATATTATGCGTTTAATTATTCAGACAATTGATTGATTTATATTATACGTATCTTGCACTTTCTCTACCACTACGATCTTTGTGATTGGTCAACAAATATTTCCTAAAGTTAATTTTTTTGCTGATCACTGCTACACATTTTCCTCTCCATTTTTGAGATAGACAAGAATGGCTTCGGAAGAAAAGCAAAAAATAGGTATTATTCAGATTATTAACCATTTGTTCTATAATGTGAACGGCTTAATCACATCAAATACTAAAAATTTTGCAGACTTCAATAATAGTGCTGAAATATATATTAAAAACAATATATCCAATAAAAATGAAAAAAAATTTAAATAGTTTGATAGTATAAAAATTGTTTTATTTTATTTTATTTTTTTTATCGAAAAGTTAAATTTAAAAGATCGATAAATTTGATGCTTTTAAGCCGTACGCACCATGTTTTGCCCGAGGAGGTTTTTTTTTTTAATAATCGTATCAGTTTTTGTAACTGGCAATATAAAGAAACTTGAAGAGGTTCAAGCTATTCTCGGAACAACGGTTGAGCTGATTCATCATAAACTTGATTGTACGTCTCCTGACTTTTTTTTTGCTTATTAATGAAAAGTTGCACTTATTTTGTTTGAATTCACCGTATGAATGCATGCATGCTTTAAAAAAAAAAATATAGTGACTGAAATACAGGGTACAAGTCGTGAAGTTTCTGCAGATAAATGTCGACGCGCCTCTATTGAGGTTAGTTAATCCCAATCACACCATTTCATATTTTTCACATTTTGAAATTTGAATCCTAATTTCACATTGAATTCAGCTAAATGGGCCTGTCATAACTGAGGATACTTGCCTTTGCTTTAACGCTTTGGAAGGACTCCCGGGACCATACATGTTAGTTTTTGAAGCTTTAGTTCTATTTATACAGTCATTATATATTTAAGAAGTTAACACATTTTCATCTCAGAAAATGGTTTTTAGCTAAATTAGGCCACGACGGTATGCATTTTAAAAATAACCTAATAATGAATAATGTTTGAATACAACACATTTTAATATCTCTTTACTACAGGAGATGATGATCGATGATATATGGATAGGAATAATTTGACAATATTGAATGACAATTGTATTCTACCTGTACTTTGTACAAATAAGAGAATAAGAGATTTATTTTTAGTATTAATATTGTTCTAAATTAATTATCTAACCATTAGAGTATTGTCATTTAACTTGTCAAACTATAACTGTCCACATATCATTGATCACATATGAAGCGACATGGTGTAGGTATCTATAACGAACTGATAGAATTTTGTTATATATTTTATAAGTGGGAACAAAATTTAAGTGGATTTGGAATTTCTAATTAAATCAAACCTTTAGGTATAATTAGTAAAAATATATAGAATAGGGAAATTGGTTAAAACAAATAAGTAATTTTATTTTGCTACTTATACACTACAGTTCGTTATAGAGAAGGTTGAATGCTCAAACCTACAGAGTTCTGAGATGGCGTAACATAATCCTACATCCTGCGCTTTGACATCTATGTATGCACCATATATCTAGGCTTAAACAAAATGCTATCTGGCTTTGAAGATAAAACAGCATATGCTTTGTGTACATTTGCGTATTCTGCTAAACCTGACACAGATCCAATATTATTTGAAGGGCGTACAAACGTAAGTTAACTCTTTTCTTTAGCAATTCGTCACTAATAAACATATGTCACTTATTATTTAAAGGGAAAAATTGTATCTCCACGTGGTATAAAAGACTTCGGATGGGATCCAATTTTTCAACCTGATGGATTTGATCTAACGTATGAATAATATTTTACTAAATCATCAATTCTATTTTATGATGTAATTGTTAACGTTATTTATATTCAATGGATAGTTATGCCGAGATGTCTAAAGAAGTCAAGAATTCAATTTCACATCGGTATAAAGCCTTAGATCAATTGAGAGATTTCCTCATTAATAACAGTAATTAATTCTCGAAAAAGTTCTAGGATTATGACAACTTTTTTATGTATATATTGGAGCTTCTGATATACATTAATCAAATCATTAGGAGATAATAATAATATTGTTAGATTTTGTGCATAAAATCTATCAACAAATATTAACAAGTTATTTTTTTTGTCAATTGTTTAAAAACAAGAACTACGAAGACTAGTATATATTCAAAAAAATTGATTTATCTTATATACAAACTACTTTTTTTCTAGCAATTCTTATAACAAATAATTTGTATAGTATAACGTGAAGAAGTTACTGTTTTGATTTTTGATTAATTACCAGTAGACATTTTTAAATCTTAAAACAAGATATTTTACTAAAAACATGCTTTTATAACTAACTTTAATTATATTAAGTTTTAAATACTTTTATATTATTTGTTTAAATTTTTGTTAGTATAAAAGACAAGTTGAGATATAGATAAAAATATTAAATTAAGAGATATGGTTTGGCTTTTTTCTAGAACTTCTTATTATTGAAGTAGACAACATATAGGTAGTACAAGTCCTCTCGTTATAGTGAACCACCTGTTATATAAAGACAGTTTATATAAAATATAGTGAATTTACTAATAGACTCTCGATATAGTGAAGAAAATCTCTCAGCCCGATCACTTCACTATAACGAGAGTGACTTGTATATAGCTAGTGAATAGACTTTATCTTTGTAGTATTACACTGTAGAAGTATGGAAGTACATATAACTATATATATATATAAGTCACTCTCGTTATTGTGAACCGCCTGTTATAGTGAAGACAGTTTATATAATAACCCTCTTGATATAGTGAATTTACTAATATATTTTCGATATTGTGAAGAAAATCTTTCAACCTAATCACTTTACTATAACAAGAGTGACTTGTACTAATTTTGTTAAAGCTATATATATTGTATTATAAACTAGTTCTTTTGAAATTCATATCAAAAAGAAAATTAATCTGATTATATATAGTATTATAAATAGTTCTTTAGAAATCTGAAAACTTTTGGTAGTAGAAAAGTTTTTTAGCTAAATTCTCTTATTATTAAAGATATTAGTTTATTTATTATTAAATAAACAAACCTAAACAAATACAAAATTAATATATAAAGTAGGTTTGTTTTAAGGTTAACTGACTTTGCAGATACTTTTTTTTTTTTTTTTTTTTTTTAAGGCAGTTTACATTGCTGAAGAAATTTTATTAGAGTTGCAAACAAGATTATACTTTAATAATTTTTACTATTTGTAATTACATGAAGAGTATACAATAAGCTACATGTACAACTTTAGTCATTATCTATTTTAAGTAGTTTGTTACACAGGCATTAGGTTACTCAATTGGTTCTATACTATGTTGCTATATTTGTAACCTATCTGTGAGTTATCTATTTAAATACTTTATTCATTAACTTATATAAATCTAACCTAACATTACTACAATATCTAACTACTTAAACTAGCTAGCTTATTACAAATTTATTTATTCAAAATAGCTTAGGTCAGTGTTGTTTACTGAAAGGTTACTAGAAGGCTACTAGAAGTAAAATTAATAGTATCACTAGAACTTTTACTATCACAAAATCTTATTAGAAAGTTAAAAATTTCTACTAGAAGCTAAAATTGACAATTCTAGCTTAGGTTCTCTTAGGATATATTATACTAAACATATTGCTAGTATTGCAGAGCTAGTTAATTTTGAAGTAAACCTACTAGAATAGTCTATACTCATTTTATAAATTTATCTAGTTTAGATTCTTTAGATATTTATACAACTCTAGATTCTATTTTTTTTTTTTTTTTAACCTTTTCAGCAAGTCATACTAATACTTTATTTGCAATAAATTTTGTACTTGACAAAAATATTAGAATACATATTTACTCATAATATATCTAACTACACAATTTTTTAAGTATTGACTCATCTAGTTACTCTAAAGGTACCTATATATGATCTGCTATAGCGAGTCTTTTTCCTCATCATCACTATCTAATCTTTCGAAAAAATAACAACAAATCCTAGAGTAGACACCACAGTCTATTATGACTTCTCACCTATACAATAGACTACTACCAAACTGATAATAGTTTCTCATATAGCAAAAAAGATAAATAAAAATTATATATATAATGAAAGATACAAAGGTTACGTATCATACAATATAGTTGAATAGAGGAAACCTGCTAACAGGAAAAAACCTCTAAACAACAAACAGATAGAGAAAAAAAACAAACAAAGTAAAGTCCTACTACCAAAGTAGGAGACCAGATAAAAATTGTATATATATAATACCTAAGTTATTCTTTAAATTCTCAAAGGAGTAAAGTACCATCTTATAGAGAGAATATCATCAACACAGATTTCCTATGGTACGTGTTAGGCTTAACACATGTTTGTTGCTTGTGTATAGCATAGAAAACAACAGGCTGATATCTAATAGTGTTTGTTAATATGTGTTGCAGATCTTTTGGAGGGAGTAAGCCAAATCCCCCAAAAAACACCAAACGATTTAGAGAAAAAAATCCAAAAGACAAAGTCATAGAAGGCCACTTCTAAGAGAGTAAGATTTTGCTTCTTGTTTTCTTATTAAACAGTACAAATATATATTATATCTAGCTATCCCTATGCTAGCAAACTACTAGTGAGCGTCACTTGAAATAACAGAGATATTTAATAATTTTTCTTACTTCTGCTACTACTTTTTCGATAGTACTCAAGAATTACTTCTAGATAATACAGCTAAAAAGAGCTTGCAAAGAAGGTATTCGCCTACAATATATTATAGAACACTTAGGAAAGAATATTGTTATCTGTATAATAGAAAAGTATTTTCACAATTTAGATTTTTTTTTCGAAAAAAAGTAGTCAGAGGATCGACAGGAAGAGTTGATATTTTATGCCTGAACTCTAGATTCTATTGTAGTCCTTTACTAGTTAGTTGATCTAGTCTTTTTCTAGTTTCTAGCTAGTTTTAGTTACCTTTTATATAAAGACCTCAAAACTTTCTACTTTTATTAGACTGAGTTTTCTTTTCAGATCAGACTTTAGCTAATGTAGTCCTATTAGAAGGTTATATTACTTCACTGACTCATGATTTCTACTATGCAGATCTTCTACTTGTATATTCTATCAAGATTTATTTATATAATATTATATTATACTTTTAAGTTCTGATCAATTTGGTATAACTCAATTTACAGAAGTATATTCCAAAAATGAGCAGAGTTTACTGTAATATGTTACAAGATTTAAAAAATTATTTAAATTCATCAATAGTAAAATTTGAACTCTAGACCTATTGTATAGTAGTTTGATAACTTAACCACTATACTAGATCATCAAATCTTGACTTTGCAAATACTTATAATATATTAAGTATAATATAATTTGAAACTATTTAAACTAAAGTATATAAATAGATTTGTAATAAGCTAGTTAGCCTAAGCAATTAGATATTATAGTAATATTAGTTTAAAATAGTATAAGTTAGTTAAATAGAATATTTAAATAAGTAATTCATAAGCAAATTACAAGTATAATAGTATAATAAGAATTAATCAAATAGTCTATATCTATATAATAAACTATTTAAAATAGATAATAACTAAAATTATATATGTAGCTTATTATATATTTTTTGTATAATTACAAACTATAGAAGATTACCTATATATAACTCTATATATCAAACTAATAAAATCTTTTTAGCAATATAAACTACTTTAAAAATAAAAAAAATAAAATTAATATAAAAATTAAATAAAACTTTATTTCTAATAAATTAAAATTAAATAGAAATCTAATAATTACTAATACTTAGTTTATTTGATCATATTCTTTTTAATAATCTTTAAAACCAAAAATAATAATAATAAAAAAAAAAAACTTATATATATATAAATATACTTTATCTTTTAACAAAATATATACAGATAAAACTAAAAAAACCAGAAGTTTTATAAAATATATATATATATATATATATATATTTTTTTTTTTTTTTTTTTATTTTTATTTTTAAGGTGGCTTACATTGCCAGGCGATTTTTATTAATTTGATATATAAAGTCCTACATGGGGTTCCCCTACAGTTTTCAGTTACATGAAGAGTGTACAACAAGCTATACATACAACTTTAGTCATTGTCTAATTTAAGTAGTTCGCTATGCAGGTGTTAGACTACCTGTTAGTACTATACTATGCTGCTATATCTGCAACTCGCCTATGAGTTACCTATTTAAACACTCTGTTCAACTAACCTATTCCTGTTACAAACTAACATTACTATAACACCTAACTGCATATGCTAGCTAGCTCGTTACGACTCCATTTCTCAACACCAGCTTAGGTCTTCTCAGAATGTATGTTGCTCATATTGTGAGTATGCAGAGCTCTGGTTAATCTCGAAGCAAACCTACTAGAGTGGCCTGTGCCCATTTCATGGACTCATCTAGCTTAGACCCTTGTAGATGTTCGTACAACCCTAGTTTCTTCTATGGCTCTCCACCAGTTTTCTGTGTCTATCTTCTCAGATGTTTCATGAGGCAGATCCTCCTAATCTAGTTAGCCGCCAAGCCAGGTTGATGTTACTAATCCTCTCTGTAGAACGGATTTATGCGCACTTGACTCGATCTGCATCTTTGATGATAGTTTTCTTTCTGGATCAAGCGTTAGCTGATGTAACTGTCAAAAGCTATACTACTTCACCAACTCAAGATTTCTACTATGCAGGTCCCCTGCTCGTATATAATTTGTGTGTGTATATCATCCTGTGATTAACTGCTACCACATTAATATTTTTTCCTATCAAGATTTATTCATATATGTATATCATCCTGTGATTAACTGCCGCCATACTACCAATATCCGATTGACTTAGTGCAACTTAACTTACAGGGTTACAACCCTAGAAATGAACAGAGTTTACTGTAAGTTGGGTACAAAGGTCCGAGTAATTATTCAAATTTGTCGACAGTAGGATTTGAATTCCAGA